ATGAGATGGATCGATTCTATGAGTGGAGCGGTGGGAATAAGTGCGTTTGAGACAGTTAGGTTGGCACAGGATAGAACAGCGTTTAGAGCTCTTGTACATAGGGTCACTATCAGTCACAAGCAACTCGATGGCACATAACAACAACAACAATGAATCATTATGCAACTGTGACTCAGAAAATTCCTTGTTTGACACAGGGAAAAGGAATAGTAATATAATTTTCACTGCTCCTAAAAGGCAGAAGTAGGACTAAAAAAGTAAAATTTTTAGAAGGTAAATTTGAAGTCATTGTGGTATTCAAAGTTTCAACGTTCAAATGAAAAGAGAGATCGACCACGGAATATTAAAACATCATGAGAGACCTCTTTGGAATGATTCTATCTAATCCTCCTGTTTTACATAAGAATACTAAAAGTCACACATTAGGCTAATAACATGAGAAGGCAGGAGAACCTGCCTAATTGCATTAAATAAAGACTTTATTAATCAAGAAACTTTCATTTTTGTTTTTCTGTTTGAGAAAAAAATAATTGTTTCAAGTTTGGATGGAAGAGAGAAAAAAAATCAGGACATAAATGTGGATGATAAATAAAATACCCTAAAGGCACACAGTCTGGATCCACACATTGCTATGCAGAAGAAAGAAGGACACTCTCCTCCTATAGGATTTGTTGCTTGTGAAAACCCTTTGAAGAGTCAGCCACAGATCAGTTCAATTCAATGGTACTTAACAACACTTCATTAACTACGTAAAGGCATTTGACTGTGTGGATCACAAGAAATTGTGGCTATCCTTGAGGAGAATAGGAATCCCAGAACACTTGATTGTACTTATGCAAAACCTATGCTTGGACTGCTAAGAGAACAAATGGGTTCATTCTGGAGAGGGTGAAACAAGGCTGCTCATTGGAGACAAGGATTCTGAAGCTCCATCTGGCATACTTTGGACATGTTGCAAGCAGGGACCAGTCTTTGGAGAGGGACCTTATGCTTGGCAGGGTGAAGGGACTTTGCAAGAGAGGAAGACCCTCGATTAGACGGATTGATTCAGTGACTGGGGTAAAGGTGATAGGTGTGTCAGAGACAATAAGGTTGTCTCAGAATAGAGCAGGGTTCAGAGCTGTTTTACATAGGATCCCTATGAGTTGCAGGCAACTTGACAGCACATAGCAACAACAAACATCATACGTGGATTAAGAAACAGTCCTGAGAACACAGCAAGGAAACACTGCATGGTTCAGAATCAGGAAAGAAGTGCATAGGGATGCATCCTTTAAAATCTACAAGAAGAACAGATCATTCAGAAAGCTGGTTTTGTGAGGAGGAATGTGGCATCAGAATTAAGAGGAAGACTCATCGACAACCTGTGTTATGCAGATGACACAAGCTTGCTTGCTGAAACTGAAGATGACCTGAAGTGCTTGCTGGAAAAGATGAAGGACTATAGTCTTCAATATGGATTGAAGCCCAACATCAAGAAGAAAAAGATTCTCAGCACTGAATCAATTGGCAGCACCATGATGGATAGAGAAGAGATTGAGGTTAACAATTTCAGCTTGCTTGGTTCCACAATCAACTCTCTTGGCACCAGCAATTAGGATCAAAAGATGAATTGCATTGGGAAAATCTGCTGTCAGCGACCTCTCCAGAGTACTAAGAAGCAACAATATCAGTCTAGAGACTAAGGTGCAACTGATCCAGAGACAATGGTCTTCACAATTACTATGTATCAGAGAGCTGAACCAATGCCTTCAAGTTGTGATGCTGGAGAAGAGTCTTGAACATACCATGAGCTGCCAAGAAAACAAATAGGTCTGGCTTGGGGAGGATGAAACAAAGTTTCTCCTGGAGGCTATACCTTTGGGCACATAGCTAGAAGTATGGTCCTTGGAGAAGGCAATCATTCCTGGAAGGGTAGAGGGACAGGGTAGGAGAGGAAGACCCTAGATGAGATGGATTATTACAGTAACTAAAGTAATGGGAGTAGGTGTGTCGGAATCAGTGAGTCTGGCTCAAGACAGGGTAGGGTTCAGAGCTGTTGTACATATGGTCACTGTGAGTTGCAGATGACTCGACAGCACATAACAACAACAATTACTCCCAAATAGGTGGATTTATAGGGAGCTCCTGTGGTCTAGTGGCAAGGAATTGTACTGTCAGCCCAAGGTTCTGGGTTTGAATCCACCATCTGTTCTGTAATAGAAAGATTGGAAATCTCTTCCAGTGTGATTAACTGCCTCTCAAAACAACAATAAAGTGCATTTACAGCTATGGAAGTATAACCTCACTATAGTACATATTTTCTTATGTAGTATTTTCTTTTTATTAGGTTGCAAACATTTTAAATTTCCCATATAATTATTAACCAAAACACAACATGGCATACCACCTAGAGAAATAGTGAATAAGGATGACAGAGGAATAATTGATTAATTTAAGTTGTGGTGCTGAAGAATAGTACTGAATATCCCATTGACTGCCAAAAGAACAAATATTTCTTGGAGAGAGTGCAGCCAGAGTACTCCTTGGAAGCAAAGATGGTGAAGCTTTGTCTTTCATACTTTGGACATGTAGCTAGCCAAGACTATTCCTTGGAAAGGGACATCATGCTTGGAAAGATGGCAGACCAATGAAGGGAAAGAAGACCTCCAATGAGATGGACTGACACAATGACTTCAGCAATGGGCCTTACTGGGTCAGAGACGGTGAGGATGGCACAGGATAGGGCAGGGTTCAGGTCGCTGTACCCAACTCTGTGGCATCTAACAAAAGCATAATAAGTTTTCAAATATGTAAAATTTTTAGATAAAATTTTGTTACTAATTTTTCACTGGGAAGCCCTGGTGGGCTAGTGGCAAGAAGCTGTGCTGAAATTCCAAAGGTAAATGGTTTGAGGCCACCAGTTGCTTCATGGGAGAAGGATTGGCAGTCTCCTCCCGTGCAATTAACTGCCTCTGAAACCTGC